TCAACAACTCGGATCCGCCGTGTTTCAGTACTTCAGGCGGGATCCCGTCGGCCCCGACACACTTACCGTTTCGCAGCTGAGCAAGTGCTCTCGGCGTCTCATCCAGTGTCGGTGTGTCCACCAGACTCATCTTCAAATCGTGCTGCTTCAGGCCGTTCAATGTATGCCAGTAGATCTCTGGACGGTTGTTCAAGAGCCAGTCCAAGTGTTTGCCAGATCTGCATTATGTGTGCAGTCTGTGTGCAGGTAGCGCCTGAACTACCATAGATCAGCGTCCTCAGCGGCTCCAATCTGGGTCCATACACCGCCTTCAAGGAATCGACGAATTCCTTGTGTTGGGGGCGTTCGGCGTAGCATTCCATCTGCTTCGTCTTCTCCATCCACCATGCACTTTTTATGCGAAGGAGCTCTCGGGTCAGCCGCCTTCGAATTTTGCGAAACTGACTACTCTTCCCCAAGTTACTGGGGTCTGCCACATGTGCAGCAAATGCTGCATTCTTCCCCGACACCAATGCGCCAATCGTCGCATTGTTCTCATCAAACCAATTAGGCCGCTTACAGTTTGCGCGCCCGATGGTCTCCAAGCCAGCAGCTGTCACCTGGTCGCGAATGTGGTGCTACATGTCGCCCACTGTGGCTATGCAGCCATCGCCTTTTTCAGCTCAGTACGTTCCGCCACAGTACCGAGGGAGAGAATGTCAAATTTACGCCGATTCACGGTAGGAGTGCAATAGATTTACGAAAATACATGTAACGTTTGGTCCGCACCAATTTGTGATCAGTGCCACATTCAGCTCTACGCAGTACACGTGTCATGCGCACTTTACGCACATCACGCTGACGTACGATGACATAGCCGAGCAGGTGAGCGTGACCACCCCGTGGGTGCGTCCAAGTTGCTACATCACTCGCACTCAGTGCAAACCGAATGTCCGTGATCGGCATGCCGTGAGTGGCACACAGTGAGAGCAGCCTGTCACCGTTCGCATTCGCTGAACCAATGCCATGCAGACCGATAACATCAGTCCACACTGATGCATCACGCCCAACGCGCGCGTTGATATCACCCAGCAGAAATAGTCGGTCGCTTCTCGGCACAGACCATATCAAGGGGGATAGCTGAGTGTAGAATTGATCAAGCGTGTCATCAGGATAACGCATGGTCGGACCGTAGGTGCTCATAAAAGTGACAAACTTACCACTTCCGAGTCGTAGGCGAACAGTCATCAGTCGCGCGCTGATGCCTGTTGGTTCACTCACCAGCCGGCCATGGAGGCGATCGGATACTGCAAATCCGACCTTGTGTTCAGGTGGTGCTGAGGCGGCGTTTCCTACCCAGTAGAACGTATAGCCACCACCTGCTTCATGCAACTTACCTTGTTCAGCGAGCCGGGTTTCACTGAACGCCGCAATATCGATGTGGTAGGGTGCCAGTTCCATCGCGACGAGTGCAGTGCGTCGCTCGGGGCGGTAGCTGGAGTTCCGGTCCAGTAGTGTGCGCACGTTCCAGCACCCGAGTGCTTTGCGCGCAGATCTACGACTGCATTCGTGGGCAATCGCATGCGAGATGGTCGTTGTGCTTCAGAGGTTTGCTTGAGGGACTCCACCCGGAGCCTTTGGCTCAATAGCCTGACCCACAAGGCAGTGGGGCGCAGATCCAGCTCAGGAATGTGATTGCAGAGACAGATTGGGATCTGTTTGCCGGCGGTCATGCGCAGCCTTTGAGTGATTGGAACGATTCATATATATGTTTTGCGACCGCAATTGCGACCAAGGCCAGACGCAGGTGGGTTTTGGCAGGTTTCCATTAATTTGACCAGGGGGCTGCCTGGCTTGTGGCGGGCAGTAGCAAACCATTGAAGACCGGGAGGTGCCCTCCCACCGTCAGAGACAATGTCTGGCGCTCGTGCTCTACGCCAATCGAGCTGTGAGCTTATAACCAGTAGACCAGTTGTCTCGTATGGCTAGGTTTTACGAGAAGAGGGCGATCGACCACTTCTAACCTCCGAAGAGGATGGACTAGGATACTGGCAGGGCGCCCACACCTGATAGGAGAACGGTTCGGGTCATCAGCCAAAAACCGATTAAATGAACACCCGAAAGACAGCAGGTCTAGCACATGGTAAGATCACTGACCCATGCGGATTGGTATCCTGAATCTTAGCAGGGAGAAGGGGGTAACCCAGTTCCCACCCAGCGGTCGCACGAGGAGGCGCCCAGAACATGAGTCAATGGCACAACAGTAGCAGCAGTGGGTAGACCATCTGTCAGGATCTAGCCACCATAAGGCTCAGCGCACCATAGGCTCTCGCACCGTGTATATATATATATATATATATATATATATATACATATATATATATATACTTGTCTTCGTACAGTAAAATGCTTAATTTCGAATGAGCCTGATATTGAGGTATTGAATCCGTTCGACGTTCGGTGCCTCCTCTCGATGGATTGGACAGTAGGAGGGCGAGGGGTACTCTAACACTGGTCTTATGATGGAAGACCCGAGTGGCGACCTCTTCAGGCCAGTTACGGAAGCTGTGTTTAAGCGCTCAAAGAATATGCGGTCCGTTACGATATGGTCTGTTCGTGTTATCTCCCTAATTCAAATCGCAGCGCAAATGTACACTTAGGTCCTTCAGGGAAGGTGTGGGGTGTAGGGGTTTGCCGTCGACGGTATAAGTTCGGCCGCCCCCACCATTTCCCAGGGATGCGGACTACTGCAGACCACATGTAGAAGCGGTCAAAGTCCTGTTGAAGCAGGCCGCATTCGTCTGGGTGCTAATCGCTCTCCAAATATTAACGTTATCCACAAACAGAGCACACGTCGAGCGAAGGAATGAGCTAAATCGCTGATGTGGATTAGGAACAAGGTGGGCCCAAGAACCGTGCGCCACTAGTAGTGGGATACGTCAGTTAGATTACCATCGAACTGTACCCTACAATTTCATCAAACAAGAAACTCTCTGAGCCACTGGGGTAGTGAGCCATGAACACCGTACCCTCTTAGCTTGTGGAGGACCTCATGGTTTGTCGAACGCTTTACTGAAGTCTTTGTGGGCGCGGTTAACTATCTACAATCATGCCTGCCTCGTCACGAGCAAGCTAGTAATGCATGAGAGGTCTAGCATAAGTGAAACCGTGCAGTGCGGGTGTCAGTAGATCTGTTGACTGAAAACGGCACACAACAATCTAAAAGCACTGCTTCCGGTTGGGATGAAAACACCAGTTAGATGAATAAGATCAGGCGGTCTAAAAAAAACCATCTCTGCGCTGCGCTAACTCATACGAAGCGCAGGTCCAAGAAAACCATCTGTGAATGCAGTTCCCGTTGAGAAATATGGACACCTGATCCGCTCTCGGATTCTCAGACTACGACAATTCGAGGGACAGCATCCGGAGTGCCGCTATTGTTTCACTAATCAGCTGAATTTCCAAGTAAAGTGACATCACGAAATTACATGTAGTTGTGAACTGAAACAAGATATATGGACCAAATGATATCACCCGTCATCATACAAAAATGGTAGTGACTCTCTTGGAGTTGGCGTAATCACTCCACTTGATTCTACGTGGAGCACTAAAGAGACGCATTTGGACAGCAGGCTGTCAACCGTCATCCCAGTCGTTAAAAAGAGCCACAGAACATCTTGTGAGAATCATCATCGCTATTAGGATTGTACAGCAAGGTCTCACTGATTGTCGACAATGTCGGACTGGTAAAGACCAAACTGGATTCCACTTTGGGGCATGTTGCACTGAGCAGGTTTTCACGCTTCACTAGGTGCATAAGCAGCAACAAGCAATTACGCCAAAAATCTTGGTGGCGTTACATGATCGGAAGGATAATAACGTGCTGCATAACTCAAAAGGTGTCAGCAAAAGCCTATTTATGTTGTAATCCAGTAACCATGGCTTTACAGAAAGTTTTCGTTAGTTCCCACAATAAGTGGTGTGTCAGAGTTACCTGTCGTTGGGAATATCCTGAACTGTAGGCCGGTAGCGGAGTGGTCTGCACGCCTGGCCTGACTAGTAAGATCACCGGTTCGAATTCGTGTAGAGGCGGGCGTCTTCGCGGTATACTCAACTCACCTGCGATCGGTAGTGGTCGCGCGCCAGCGAAGCGCCGTTACGGCATACAGCTGACAATTTATTTAATTATCATTTTATTTAATGTCCTGAACTGATCAGTGCTACCTCCTTCTACTGCAAAAGGCAAACAACCGGCTGACAAACCAAGAGTATACTGATGATATCGCGCTCCTAAGGCCGGACTCAGTCCGCGTAGACAATACCGAACGAAATGACGCAGTGTTGCACCTCTCGGCATGTGCTTCGGACCAACAGGGTTGAAGGCACTGGTACATCACTGAAGTACTAGGTCGTTCATTCATTCAATCATTCTACACAATAAATAGAGATAAGAAACACCCCAGCCATTGTGCCCCAAAGAAACACGTGGCCCGGCCGTCGGAGTCTGGTGCGTGATATGATGGTGCTGAGCGGTTCACTTTCTCTTCCTGCATCATATACGAGACGCCGAACATCCTCATTGCTCACACGGTTCCCACCAGATGTGCACTGAGCTGCAAAAGAACCGGTACTCGAACGTAACAAGCTTTTTTGCATCTGTCGATTTGGTGGACCAGGTTTCGCAACCGTACAGTAGGGCTGTAGACGATGCTCGCTCAGCACTGTTATCTCAGGCACAAAGTTCCGATGTCTGGACCATGTGTTACGCGTACCAACACACCGAGTCCCGCCACGTGCGTTGTTTGTGCGACCAATGACTTAGTCATCAGGAATGAAGTCTCTCACTCTGAAGATGGTCTCGGTTGGATCAGTTCGACTCCCAGATGGAGGTCCTAATGACTATGGTCACATTTGGTTAGACAGTTGTGAGTTGGTATAACCGTCGGTATAGGGCTGCAACCATGTGAAGATGCATTACAGTAAAACGGAAAGTGTAAAAACAGACAATGGGACGAACTTACATGTAAGCGATACGGCAAAGACTCAAAAAATATGGAAGTGGCGCTAATCTTCTTGGATGCGACTGCGAAGCCATGGGTGAGGTGGCCCCCGTCTGGTAAGTGCAGGCCCATTAAACGATCGTGTGGATTAAGGAGAGCAGTGTAGACGGCGAGATTCGCCGGAGAGCCGCTGTACGGCTGCACGTTGACTCCCCAATCGCATTGCTCCAAACTCCTCCCTGGTTGTTTCAGGCCAAACAACTGAAGCAATCGATCCTGAGCTAACAGTTCCACCTTATCGATGATCCCGTTCCCGCCGTAGTACCTGAGGGGTGATTAAAAAGTTAAAGTTGGCTTTGTAAAACAGCAGAGGTTGTTTACTTTGTGCCGTGGCAGAGGTAATTGCTTATGATCGATACATAAAGCATTGCAGGAAAGGAAATCTGATAGTCTTTAGAATGTTGAAATCTTGAATTCAAAACGACCCAAAGCACAGCAGGCAGTCAAAAAGGGATCACATGTTAAACAAACAAAAAATGCGAACCCTACTAGGAGTGTATGTTAACTCGGGCGCGTATCAACGAAGCCCTAGAATTGTTGTCAGTCACACATCTGCCACAAAGACCAGAACGAGCTGAGTGCAAGATCGAACCCAGATGATACCCAATAGTCACTTCGGTCATCTATGATCCGTGAATCAAAGTGCGGTGAATCCAGCCGCCACGACTCAGACCGTAAAAATAACAATACATAACACCGGTAGGATAGTGGGTTGGGTGCAAACAGAATGTAGGGAAAATAAAAACAAGGTGTCCGACTAATCTGAATGGAACGAAAATTAACAACCAGATGAAAGAAGCCGAGTTCAAGAACGCCACTGAGTTCGTCACTGCGCCATGTCTGACACGGTCTCCAACCATTGATGTGGACCGTCCCGAGGCTCCCATCCGGAAAGACGACACGCATCAACCTGATCAAGGTGGGAGCTGTACCGACGGACGCCGCGAGTTTTTGGATCAACGTGTGCTGGATACTACTTTTGCCTCAGATTACTGTGGTAGCAGCGTTTTATCTGTGTGAATTGTGCACCATTATTCTTCTTTTGGCGTATTTTCCAAGCGGTGCAAATTTGGGAGCTATTCTTTGGCTAATTCCGGAGATCTCACTGATTTGCCATACTGCCATCTCTGTCCGCCATCTTGGATTTGCTCTAGCTTGTGGTGCCGTCTCAAGCTACTTGTGGTTCGTGTTCGAAAGTTGTGGGAAATAAGGCTCATGCATTTCGATGCTTCAGCTGTGATATTTTGTTCCATATTTCGTGCATTGGCTTATCCGTTGACGTGTTTCGAAAATCGCTCGACATCCGACATCGGTTTTTTCAAGTTATATGTGATAAATGTCGCGGTACAAGACATCAGAATACGCAGCGACCGCAAACAACTACGGAAAAATCTCTCTTTCAGATAGAAACAAACCGTTCACCACGTGGGATCAAACGCCCTCGTGAAAGTACCTCTGTCACCTCGCCTTCTACTGTCTCTCCGCGATCTGCACCACCACCAGCGTCTTCGACCCCGACCGAACCCCTGGTTTAATGTTTCCCACCGATGGAAGACTCGGACTCAGAAGCTACGAAATGCCGCTTCACTGATCGGTCCGTGAATTTCTCAGAGCCTGTCTGTGAACTTCTGAACACCGAGGATCCATGGACGACTCAAAAGCGCAAGGGCCCACGTAATCGAGTTCAGACGTCACCTGATGATAAACAACTAACCAATCAGTTAAGCGCCTCTAGTTCTGCTCCCACAGGTTCATCACTGATTTCGCTGAGGCGTCATAATCTCATGGTCTTCCACGTACCTCAGATACGTTATGATCACGACGTTGAGTTCCTCCAGGGGCTCATCGATAGACTCTTGGATGTGGGCGAGGACAGTGTGACGAGTAAACAAGCAATCCGACTTGGCCAGAAAACTAACCAGTCATGTCGACCTCTGAGGATCACTTTTGCAAATCCTAATATGCCGCAGCTCATACTGTCTCGTTTGTCAAGGCTGAAAGGCATAAAAGTTCACATCCGTCGAGATTTGGAACCCGAGGACAGGGATCGTTTGAAGACTGCGGTCATTGAGCTCAAACGCCGTACAGAGGAAGGTGAGACTGACTTACAAGTTGTAAATTTTCGGGTGATCAAGAAGGGTGTACGAACCCGTATCAATCGGTTGCTCAACCTCCAGGCACGTCCCGCAGTACCTCCCAGGACCTCCGTGTCGCATTCGCCAACGTGTGCAGCCTAATGAACAAACGTGACGAACTGTGCCGTTTCGCTGTCTCGGAGCGGCCGGACATTTTAGGACTTGCAGAGACATGGCTGAACTCCGACATCATACCCCAAGAAGTCGTGTTGTCAGGATACTCTTGTTTCCGATGTGACCGAAAATCAAAGGCTCACGGTGGTGTTCTGTTGTACATAAAATCGTCACTATCTGGCAAACTTATCAGTACCTATCGGAGCGAGGATAGTTTATGCGAGCAATTGTGGTGCACAATCCGTCTCAGGCGCGCAGAACTAATTGTGGGGGTTATCTACCGGAGCCCATTATACCGTTGCTGCGATTGGATACCACATGTACAGAAGCACATGAGCCGCCCTCAGTTCTTACTGATGGGGGATCTAAATTTACCTAAGATAATTTGGCCAGATGTTCGACTTCTTCCCGGTCATGGCAACGTTGAGGCTCAATTCGCTAAAATGACTATTGAAATTGGGGCAACGCAACATGTCATCCAACCGACGCGCGTAACTCCGTACTCGGCATCTTGTCTGGACCTAATGTTTACGAGCTGTGAACAAAAGCTAAAAGAGATCAGAGTAATCGAACCTCTGGCGAACAGTGACCACTGCTCTATTGTAGCAAGCTTAGAACTGTCGTTACCATATTACAATCAACAGAAGCCGACATTCAACTATTGGAAGACGGACTTCAACGGACTCGTCCAAGCCGCAAGTCAGACTGATTGGACACTACCACATGATGCGTCACTTGAGGCGTGGTGGTCATTAATAAAGGGGAAGCTTAACTCGCTCTGTACTCGGTTCGTTCCCCTTAAGTATCCAAAAATCGGACCTGTCAAACCGCATTGGTTTGATAGGGAATACAGACAGTTTGCGCGACGTCGTAAACTTTGGGATAGATACATAAGCTCGCGTTGTGATGAAGATTACGCGGTGTACAGGAAACAGCGTAACTTATGTAACGCCGCAAAGATCAAGAAACGCCGGCAGTTCAAAGAGGAGCTAGCATCCTCGGCCACAACTGCACCCAAGCGAATATTTGCCTACTTGAAACGTCAACTGAAACCTGGAGACGACCTACCGGTCTTAGAGAGCTTAGACGGGAAGACACTCATTTCAAGCGCGGAGCGCGCGGACGCCCTGGCTACGCACTTCCTCACTGTATTTTCCAGTAAACCGGCGGCGGTTTCAGTACCGGCACAGGTTGAGCCAGTCTTGCTCGACAGCCTACAATGTGATGTAGTCGAAGTACATCAGCTACTCGTCAACCTCAATGGTGCAAAGCCCCCCGGGTCAGACGGACTTCAACCACTAATACTCAAGTCCCTATCGATTATCATCTCACCAGTTGTGACAAACCTTTTCAATAGATCGCTCTCTGAAGGATCCGTCCCGAACGACTGGAAATGCTCGATAGTTAAACCGCTTCCCAAAGGTGGGGATCCGAGTAAAATAGAGAACTATAGACCGATCTGTTTGACTTCGGTATTAACCAAAGTTCTCGAGAAGGTTTTGAAAAAGTGTCTGCTGTTGTTCTTCGAATCGATGGACATATTGACGCCAGCGCAACACGGCTTTACGAAAGGGCGATCCTGCATCACCAACTTGATGTACACAAACCACCAGTGGGTTCGAGCTCTCAATGAACAGAAAGATGTTGACGTGGTGTACATCGACTTTAGTAAGGCGTTTGACAGAGTGAACCACGAGGTACTCCTTCGTAAACTGAGGACATACGGAATCGGTGGCACGTTACTTCAGTGGATACAAGAGTTTATTGTGGGACGAAGGTTTAGAGTACAGGTCAATGACTATCTGACAGAATGGTTCCCATCGACCAGTGGCGTGCCTCAAGGAACTGTACTTGGACCAGCATTATTTCTTATTCATATCAACGATCTTCCACAGCAGCTCCAGTCACCATGTGTCCTGTTTGCAAATGATTTGAAAATCTGGAGGATCATTGAAAACCAGGACGACTGCGCTCGCCTTCAGCATGACTTAGAGCGACTGTCAACGTGGTCCACTGAAATGCAACTCCCTCTTAACGCAAGCAAGTTGGAGTTCATCAGTATCACCAGACGTCCAGCCACTCGATCATACACCTTGGACGGCCAGTTGCTCCATTCCAACACATCTGTCAGAGACTTAGGAGTTCTCTCACGACATATTTAAGATCACTAGAAAATACAGAGAAATTGTACCGTGCGGGACTTCGTATGCTCTGGGCATTAAGACGCAGTTTCTCCACATGGTCCGAAGAAACCGTCCCTCGTCTATTCACCTCGCTCATTAGACCAATCCTTGAATACGGTGCCCCAGCTTACCATCCGATAACCTAATGGGAAACTGAAAAACTGGAGAAAATACAGCACATCGCAACTAGAATGATACCAAGTCTACGAAAGCTTCCATATGAAAAACGTTGTGAAAAGCTCGGACTCTACACACTATCCTATCGCCGAGTAAGAATTGATCTTATTATGACCCATCGAGTACTACACTTGAATCACTTCCCCATACTGCGGCCAATATTTCACCTGCGAGAACCCTGTAACACCCGAGGACATCGTTACAAACTCAGGGTCCCCAGCATGAACAAAGTATCACATCAGCTTTGTATCGAACGAAGAATCGTAAACTTATGGAATACACTACCAGAAGGATTAATAGAGGCCGATTCTGTGAAGTGTTTTGAAACCCGTATCGACGATTATTTTGGAAACCTGTGCTTTTGTGAAACGATGCACATACAGTGCCAAAAGAAGACATTGTATGTCCGGAAATAATGACGCTAGTACAAATTTCTAACCGAACACGGATAAACGATTAACGGACCAGACACAACTGCTGATAATGCACAAGTAAATTTTGATTTTTCGTAATTCGATAGAGTTGTACAGAAACCTTTCTACTTGCTCTTAAATACAGTCTCAGTCTCAGTCTCAGACAATTACTTCAACCTTCTATGACATGTCATGAACTGGCCACCTCGAGGTTTCACCCAACTTGGTGCAGCGGCGATGTAT